ACTGGTTCACGTTGGCCTGCGGTGCTTCTCAGCCTGCAGTTCCTTTCGTTACACTGTAGTTGAAGCCGTTCATGGCAGTGACTCGTTTAAAGACAACTTTAGTATTGGGGGAAGTGTCGATAGCAGCGTTTCTTTTTACTTATACAAGCGTTGATAGCAGTGTCTCGTTTGTGGACAACTCATTATATATCAACTCATTCATACAGAGTTTCTTTTCGCAGCAAGTGAATGCACAGCAGTGTATCTGCATTACTGGCCCCCACTCCATTATCACTATCATCATCAACGATTTCCTACACGCGTGTGCGCGGCGGTCGCCATGAGTGAATAGTTTGCAGAGACTTCTCGCATTGATACCCATGGGTCACTTCAGAGTGAACTCATTTGTGATCTTCTTTCATTGGAAGTTGAATCGGTTGATGGCAGTGCCTCGTTTAAACTCCACTTTGGTATTGCTAGTAGTGTCAATGCCAGCGTTTCTTTTTAATTGTGCAAGCGTTGATAGCAGTGTCTCGTTTGTGGTTAGTTATAACAGCGTTGACAGCAGTGTCTCGTTTGCGGACACCTCATTGTACATCAACTCGCTGATGCCGGGTTTCCTATCAACACCATCATCATCATCCTTAACCAGGTTTGCTCGAGTTTCACCTGGCCGTCCAGCCGCGGCGGTGCTCCTCAGCCTGCCTTGTCACAATGCCAGCACGCGGCAAGGCATCGCCCCCGCCACCCCCGGCCCCGTGCGATGGCCCGTGGGAGATTCTGCCGGATCCGCCCGCACCGACTCCTCAGCCAGGTGTCGACGTGGTCTTTGAGCAGGCTCACCTCGAAGACATCCGCCGTACACCAGGGATGGGCGGCAAGACCGCCTGCCAGTGGCAGCGCGCGCTGCGCGCCGAGTGCATTGTCAACAACTTGTCGTTCAAAGACGTAACAAACGACCCGTCCTACGACTGGAAGCAACTGCTTCGGTCTGCCGCTCCGGGTTTCGCTGAGCGCATAATCGGGCAGGGCATCGCCCAGGTTCTCTTTCGCATCATCGAGACAGAGCGCGACCCTAACTACTCCAACACGGATGGCCACGGCAGGCACTTCTTCGAGTTCCGTCGTGCAGACGGTTCAGCCATGCGCCTGCATTACCATAAGAACGGCCGACCCGATGAGCCCACCTATGTCGGTCCACCACGCGCCGTTGCTCAGCCTGCCGTGCCTGAGCCTGGCGCTGCTCAGCCTCATGTTCCTCGTGGCGGCGCTGCTCAGACTGCCGTGCCTGACGGTGGCGCTGCTCAGCCTGCCGAGACTGGCGGTGATGCCCCACTGCTCTTCACACAGGAGCACCTGCAAGAGGCAGCCTGCTCGCGCCAGATTGTGGGCCGCGACGAAGCCAGCGCCGCTCTCCAATCGCTGTTGCACTACCACCATGGCGAGACTGCCCCAGGTGCTGTTGACATCACCGATGGCTCAGCATTTGACTGGCTTCGATGGGTGGCACATATCGAAGGTGCGCGCGACGTCATCCGCAATGGCGTCCACAGGGTCTACGCTGTCCGCTGGAATCCGCACTGGGCTCCAGAGGCCGTCTTCTGCTACGGCAACAACACCTACAGCACACTGGTGCCCCGCAAATCGCGCTACACAGGCTCGTGGAGCCACGCGCGAATTGTGACTCACCGGAACGCCAATTGGGTGACCGAACCGTTGCTATCTGCGGCCCCTGTGGCAGCTACGCCGTGGCTGGTGTTGCGGGATCAAATAACCTGGGAGTGATCTCTGGCAAACGAGATGTGGTGCTTCTCAGCCTGCACTCATGTGACACGCAATGCCGTGCCCTGCAATCGCGTGGTGTTTCTCAGCCTGCACTCGCAGGTCCTTCGGAGGTCAATTGTTATGAGTTCGGCACGGTCTCGGTCAAGTACAGCGTGCTGTGGGGATCCCGAGATGGGGCCTGGCTCAAGGTGCTCAAGACGTACTGGAGTGTCCCAGAGCCGGAGTGCCAGCTGATCCTCGGGAGTTGGAACGGCATTTTCAGGCCGTGGCCGGACACGTTCTGGATCAGGACGGGGGGGTCCGAGCCCGAGATAGATGCTAGCGCTCTGCAGTACAAGTGCTTTTCAGCATGCGACATCCTGCGGTGCTTCTCAGCCTGCAGGGTTCGCAGCGTGCGGTTTGCAATGCATTCCTTTTCAGTATGCGAGTTCCTGCGGTGTTTCTCAGGTTGCAGGGCTCCGAGGCTCTTCCCTTCGATGCCAATGTTTTCAGACACCGTAGCTCCGTTCCGTAAACATCTTCCAAGAGCCGCTCGCAACTTTTTGCAGCTGGCGGTCTGCAGACGTAGTCTGTCTCAGCATGCGAGCTCCCGCACGCTTCGCCGGCTTTTGCTGCGCGGACAATTTTCTCACACACGTCAGCGCCGTTTGTAGGCGTCAGAAAAACATGTAGACATTCACGAAGGGCTCAGTCTGTATATCGTCACATCATTACATACGCAGTCGTCGAACACATCGGTGTACATTCAGCGCTTTGTCCTTCTAGCTGGGTCGCTTCGTGCTGAGGCTGAGGCTGATGCAGGCTGAGGCTGAGGCAGGCTGAGGCTGAGGCCGAGGCCGACGGCAGACTGAGGCTGAGGCTGAAGCAGGCTGAGGCTGAGGCAGAGGCAGGCTGAGGCTGAGGCAGGCTGATGCTGAGGCAGGCTGAGGCTGAGGCTGAGGCTGATGCAGGCTGAGGCTGAGGCAGGCTGAGGCTGAGGCCGAGGCTGAAGGCAGACTGAGGCTGAGGCTGAAGCAGGCTGAGGCTGAGGCTGAGGCTGAGGCTGAGGCTGAGGCTGAGGCAGGCTGAGGCTGAGGCTGTGACTGCGACTGCCGTTGCCACTGCGACTGTCCTCGCGAATGCGACAACGACTGCGAGAACAGCAGAATTCTACAACTGGATTCTCATCCGAATCTTAAGGGGAATGCTTCCAGATATGCTCCTACACATGGCTGTTAGGTTGCTTTGCCGGGATAATTTGGACGAAAGAATGAACGCAAGACGCCTCAGGTTGGCGGCTGTGCAGGTAGGTTCTGCGCTCCACATCAAGCGGCATTCGGCTCATCCCGCCACCGTGCCTGGGTTGTGAGTCTGAGGTCTCTTGGATGTTCGTTGGGATCTTGTCGAGGCCTCTCGGGGGCCTCCTGGAGGGATTTTCGATGCCTCCGGAGGGCTGTTTGGGATCCTCTTGGGACCTCTTTTGGGCCTCTGAGGGGCATCTTGGGGCCTCGTTTGAGGCCTCTTGGGGCCTCTTGGAGCCTCCTGGGCGCCTCTTGGGGCGGACGGCTCGGATTTCTCTGTAGTGCTCTTCCTTATAGGCCCCTCTTGAGGCCGTCTTGGGGCCCTCTTGGGCCGTCTCGGGCGCCTCTTGGGCCAGCTTGGAGCCCTCGTGGGCCATCTTTGGGCTCTCTTGGGGGCCTCTGAGGTCGTCTTGGAGCATTCTTGCCTTTTGGGACGTCTTGGAGCGTTGGATGCTCGGAAAGTGGGGAACCCAACAAACATGGAAGAACCTACGGAAGATCAATGATTTTGGCCTCTCCGGGCCTTCCCGGGAAGGCACTTTGAGCTTTCTCGGGGCGTCTCTCAGGCCTCTTCGGCCGTCTCGGAGCCCTCTCTTGGACCGATCTTACGGCGATTCGGAACCTTAGACCGCTTCAGGGGCTTTTGGGGGCCCTCTTGGGGCCGAACAAATAACCGCGATGCGCCCCAAGAGATTTGGCAATTTGGGGTCTAGGCTCCGTCTTAGAATCCTCCAGGCTTGAGGACTGAGGCGCCAGGAGATCCCAAAAGGGACCAGAAGAAACTCAAACTTGTGGCCTGCCGTCCCATACGTCGATGCTCTAGGCGACGTGATTGTCGTGTTCCATATTGTTCCCTACACTGTTGCTGCGGTATGAGAAGTGCTCTTGCATATTCAGCTAGCCAATCAGGGGAAAGGGCGGCCTGAATGGAAGGCTAGCCCTCTTGACGACCTGTGGAGCCCTAGATCCCAGAGTTCCATCGTTTCCACCCTGTGGTGGCCCACGAATCATCTTGGGCTCCTCCAGTTCAGGCCCTTCGTCGCCCTCCCCTCCCCATTTTTTACACATTTGATCATTCGTATTAGTACTCGTATTGGTATTGCTATGTGTATGGGTATTAGTATCATTAGTAATATTAGTAGGATCATTATTATTATTAGTATTCTTATTCGTATTATCATTGCTACTATTAAGGGTATTAGTAGTAGCCGTATCATTCGTATTAGTATTACTAGTATTATTAATAACACTACCATTAGTATTATTATGCTTGTAGCTCCTTCTCCTTCTCTTCTTCCCCCTTCCCCTCCCCCTGATTCTCCTCCTCCTCCTCCTCCTCTTCCTCTTCCTCCTCGTCCTCCCCCTCGCCCCGAACCTCTTCCCCTTCCTCTCTTCGTTGGCCACCGCGCCCGAGCTACCACGAAGCCTGGTCTGGCGAGAGGTGCAGCAGCAGAGGCTGCCCCCTCCCTTATCGTGCGCCCCCCCCCGGGCACGAGCGCCCCGGATCACACAGTCTCTCCGCCAGGGGTTAGGAGGAGGAGGAGGAGGAGGAGGACGACGAGGAGGAGGAGGAGGAAAAGGAGGGTTTTGAAAAGCAAGCCGATGGCTTCACAGGGCGGGGAGGCAGGACAGGGAGTCAAAGGATGGGGAGGGGATGGCCTCCCTGGAGGGGCCAGGGAGGGGCAGGGCGAACGACGGAACGGACGAAATGGAATGGCAGCAGATGGCTTGCGTGACGTGGCTCTTGCACGGGGGAGCGGCGAGAGACAGGAAGAGGAAGAGGGCGAGTCAGGGCCAGCCTGGGATTCTCTTGGGGCCTCTGCAAGAGTGGGATGCGGTGCTTTCATTTCTGGCTTGCGCTATGGGGTCGAAGTTGGATGAACAGTACCGCCACGATAGCGACCAGGGTGGCGGCAAGGATGCCGAGGGATGCCGAGGGCGATTCCCGTAGTTAGCCGTTCTGACGCTGCCCCGTCGCTGGCTGAGTTGGCGAGGGAGGTGCGGCAGCCACACGACGCTTCGCTTACGGCTACCCCCCCCCTCCGCTGAGCCCCCCGGGGCACCGCCCTCATGGCGGCGAGCGCCGCGGGCGTGCCGGACGCCCTCCGCGAGACCGCGCCCGGGCGGCCGGCGAGCGGCGGCGTGGAGAGGACCTTGCTGCTGGAGGCGGCCGCGAGCCTCGCCAAGGCCCAAGAGGCCCAGGCCAGGCTCGCCGGGGCGCTGGACGCCCTGCTCCACGAGGGCTCCGCCCCAGACTTCCAGGATGCCCAGAACGGCTCCGATGTGCAGAGCCCACGGCCGGATGCCAGCGTGGAGTCCGAAGTCTTGGTGGCCGCGAAGGCGACGATGGCCTCGGGCATCAAGGACGTGATTAATCACGACGAGCAGCCCTTTGCTGGTAGCCTGGCATCTGGCGCCTGGCCAGCTTCGTTGCAGATCAGATGGGACGAGAGCATGAAACCAGCCTGTGTCGACTTGCGCGGGGCCTCCAGTACCACACAGCTCCTTGAGAGAATGGGCCGGTCCCGGCAGGCGGAGACGCCCCCGCTGGATGCGGCATCGCACGCCCGTTTCTCCATGCAACGGTTTGTCATTCTCCACACTTCCCGCACGTACATGTTGTACGGATGGGTGAGTTGCTTTCTTCTCTTATTTGATGTTGTGGTCGTTCCGTGGATGATTGCTTGGGACGTGCCTCTGCTTGGTTTCCAGAGGGACATGGCCTGGGTAACGACGTTGTTTTGGACTGCCGACATCTGTGCCAGCTTCATCACCACCTTTCACCAGAACGAGAACGATGAGCTGATCGACCACATTCCTACCATAGCAAAGCGCTACCTGCGCTCATATTTTGTCATCGATGTGATCATCATCACTGGCGACTGGGTGTCCTTGTTCCTCTCAAAGTCAGCTGGGTGGAGGGTGGCCCGCCTCGCAAAGATTGGCCGGTTGTTGCGACTTGTGGTGCTAATCCGCGTGCTAAAAGCCCCTGCCATCGTGAAGAAATTGGGGGAGAGATTGTCGGACTACTCAAAGCTCGCGCTTCGTTTTGCAAATATGTTCGTGATCACCGTTTCTTGTACACATATTATATCTTGCGCGTGGTTTTTCATTGGGAGGTCGGTGCCGTCGGACACGGGTATGAGTTGGATTCGCACGTCTGATTATTTAACAGTAGCCGAAGAGAGCATGTGGTATCAGTACACCACTTCTTTCCACTGGGCAATGGCTCAACTTTGCTTAGGCTCAAACGAGGTGGTGTGCACTACAAGTGTCGAGAGGATGTTCTCTGTCATGTGCATGGTGGTCGGACTCTTGTTCGGCAGCACCCTCGTCTCAACGCTTTCCACAGCGATGTTCCAGGTCCAAATGGATCATCGTGACAACCACGTGAAGCTGAAGCAGATGAAGACGTACCTGCACGAGAACCAGATCGACTCGAGTTTTGCGGCAGATGTGCAGACGCAGTTGCGAGCGCGGTTAGTCGCAAAGGACAGGGTCAAGGAAGGGGACGTTTACGGCTTGAAGCTTCTGTCTTCAGCTATGCAGGCAAAATTGAGGTACGAAGTGTTCGTGCCGCGTATTGAGCACCATTCATTGTTCAATGTATGGGTCAGCGTAGACCGGACGTCCGCAGAGCATTTCATCATCAGTCACATGAAATCTGTCCACCTCATGCGGAAGGACGACCTCTTCTCTTCAGGCAAGAGAGCGGATTGCGCCTACGTGCTGGTCACTGGTGGTTTGAATTACACACAGTATCCCGAACACGCTCTCGTCGACGACATAAAAGAGGAGGACGTGAAGAGGGGCGGCCTAATATCCGAAGCGACCCTCTGGTGTCACTGGTTTCATGTAGGCACCTCGCAGGCCACGCAGTTCTGCGACGTCGCGGAGGTGCGGGCCACGGGGCTGCAGGACGCTGCCAGGCGAAGCGAGGCGATTTTTGAGCTTTGCAGGGAGTACTGCGAGCAGTTTCACCGGCGGCTGCAGGCAGCAGGGCCGCCGACGATGCCTTGGCCCGACGACCTCCAGGTGCCCCTGACGGAGTGGGGCGACATGGTGTCTTCCATGAGCGGAGAGACGAAGAGTCTCATCGGCCTGGACGCCATTCACAAGGCTGGTCTCGGGACGTGGAGCAGGTATAACTCGCTCGCGGGCACGCTCACCACGGAGATCCTGAGTGGCGCCTCCATCGTGGTGCTGGAGGCGAACTGCGAGCTGCGGCGCATCGTGTCTCTCGTGGCGCTTCGGATCCGCAACAGGCAGGGGCAGCTGCTGATCGAGCTGGGCAGGAGCAGGTCGGGGACGATGACTACGGAGTGCCGGCTGCCGGGAGGGAAGCAGCACCAGGGCGAGCTCGTCATGGACAGTTTGCATCGGCTGTTGGAGACGAAGATGGCTTCGATCGCCAGCAATCTGGAAACCGTCAGGGTCGATCGAGAGGTCGAGACGAAGCAGTCGGAGGAGTACCACATTCGGACCAAATACTTCCGCAACGTGGTGCACATGTCATACACGTCCGGACTGGCCTCGATGCCATCCGAAGGTTCCATCGATACTATGTCTCCTGTAGCACTGCGTGACCTGAGCTCCTCAGGGAGTATCTCTCCTAAAGTTCTGCAACACCGGAGTATTCGACACCGGACTATTGCTGCCGCTGGCATTCTCATCCCGCAGGCATCTCGTGATGGTCATCTTCCGTCGTGGGCGCCCGTCGTTATGAAGAGCGACAAAAATGAGGACGCCGTGTATGCATGGCTGACAGAAGTGGAGTTCAGGAATTTGCAGCGCCCAGGCTCGAAAGAGCTGATATCACGCTGGCTTAACGCAGCGATGGCGAGACTCCATGAAGCGAACATTTATCACTACGCAGAGGATCAGCAGGTGATTTGAGTGCGATTCTGGGAGCTCAGAGGTGGGCTCCTCACGATTGCATCGGGGCCCTTCGGCGGGAGTCGGTGCCCGCCTCGGAGGTTCGCTGCCGGGCCCAGCAGCCCGCGGGAGCTCAGCAGGCGGTCTTCCGCTACGTGGCTTTTGTTCAGTGGTCCTGTCCTGAGAAGCCCCGTTGACTATACACATGTTAAGCGCCTGTTGGCGCGAGCCCGCGAGCGCGGTGGTTGACTAGCATGATGCTGCCAATCTGGGCAGAGGGCTACAGTTCTCTGCCCACATAGGCATTTGCCATTGCCCCCCCCTGCTCCGCACAGGTATCTTCGTCTTCCTTCGCAGGCCTAGGGGCTGACACCAACACCAAGATCGGCGGTGTGCCTCCACCAAGGGAAGACGATCCCGATCTCGGTGATGGTGGCAATATGCTGGCTTCCAAGGTGGTCGAAATATTGCCACCAACACCGAAATCTAGGATCATCTCCCCCCTGTGGAGGCAACCCCTTGTGTTGATGTTGGTGCTCATTCCCATGCCTCCAATATCTTCGTCTTCCTCGCTCTTCTTGCGATCCTCGTGGATTGCAGCACGGGTCGTGGCTGTGCTTGTGCTCCAACAGCAAGAGCTCGCCCGAGCCAGCCTGCCGATCGCGAGGAGGCTTCCGTCCTCCCTTCTGGCTATTCTGAAGTCGGGCCTGTCCCTCTACAGGAGGAATATTCCAAACTAGTCGAAACATACTCCGGGAATTTGTTTGAGTATTTGTTACAAACGTATGTTTGAATCTTTGTGGGATATTTTGCATGTTTCGTCAAAAATCCGCCTGTAGGAGGACATGCCCGACCTAAGGCTATTTCCCACCTTGCCCAGAGGGCCTCGTCTCGGGCCGTACTTTCCGCTGCGACGTGAGCGCCCCATCACCAGAAGTGTGATATGGCTGCTGCGCAAAGCGGGCGACAACGTACAGATGCGAATGCGTGCAAAATGAGTGTTGTAAGCATTCTAGATGTCTTGTGCGAAACGTAAGACGGCCCAAGAGGCCCCCAAGATGCTCCAAGAGCGCTCCTCCCCCCCTGGTCTCCCAGGCGGCCTGGGGAGAGCTTCGGGACGCTCTCCCGGGCCTCCCAGGCGGCCCCTGGAAGCCTCGGGACGCCCCTGAACGTCTCTGGGACAGCTCAAAAGGGCTCTGAGGCTCCCACAGGCACCCAAGAGAGCGCCAAAAGCTTCCAACAGGCCTCCAAGACCATCGAAAAGAGCTCCGAGGAAGCCCGACAGAACCGAAAATGATTCAAAATCACATGAAAATATATGATTTGGGCGGTCTCGCATTTTCGCCTCCGATACGCTTCCGAGGCTTGCGCGTGACCCCCAATGGCGCCCCAAGAGGCGCCCCGAGCGCCCCCAAGGGGCCTCCAGAGGCCACAAGAGACTCCCATGACGCCCGAAGAAACACCAACGAGGCTCCAAAGACGCCCCCAAGAGGCTCCGAAGAGCCCTCGGAGGCCCCCAAAGAGGCTCACGAAAGCCCGAGAATCTGTAAGAAAGAGGCACCCAAGAGGCCCCAAAGAAGCTCCAAGAGGCCCCAAGAGTCGCCACCAAGAGGCTCCCATAATGCTTTCAAGACGCCAGGGTCTGACTCTCCGATTCATTTCGGTCGCCGTTCCGTCTTTCGATTCGATAATGGGATTTGGGGCTCTCCTGCGAAGCCAGCTCGAGCGATGAAAAGCTAGCTGCTGCCGATGTATCAGAGGCCGCATCTGTGGAACGAACACTCTCTTTGCTCCGAGTCAGATTCCTTTTTCGACTCGCCGCTCTTGTGGTCAGGCCCCATTCAGGCATTTCGGAACATGCTTTCCGCGCGTCTGTCGCTGATTGCCATCGGCAGAGACATGCACAGTATTCCGGCGTTTGATCTTGTCGTCAGGCCCCATCCAGGCATTTAGGAACATGCGATCCGCGCGTTTGATGTTGACTGCCAAAAGGCAGGGCCATGGGACATCGCAGAGGGCAGATTTGATTTGATCGAAGACGCCTTCGGTAATCCATCAGTGCCTGCAGCACGGTGGTCGACTTGGGAAGCCAGGTTCAAGCGCGCCCGTGAAGCACGAGCCGCTTGAGAACGCATCCTCTCTTTTTCGCCAGGGTCGACGGGCAGTGGGCAGTGAGTCTGCAGTTTTTGCTCAGAACCTGCGGGCGAATCCGTGCACCGACACCGCTCCGTGCCCCGACCTGAGGGCTCTTGCTTTCAAGACGTCTCAGAGAGCCCCCGGGAAGCGCCGACGAGCCATCCAAGATGGCGGCGAACTCGGAGGAGGCGGCTCCTCTCTCCTCTTCCCTCCCTCAGAGAGCCCACGGGAGACTCCCATGAGAACCGTCTTCAGGTGCAGGGCGGGTTGATGTTTGATTAAAGGGGCCCCATGCCGGGACAGAATTGTGTCAGCGGACCAGGGCTAGGATTTCCGGGGCGGGTTGTTGTTTGTTTAAGAGGACGCCAGATCGGGACAGCATTGTGTCGCGGGACCGGGGCCAGGATTTGCGGCGCGGGTTGTTCTTTGTCTAGGAGGACGCCAGATCGGGACGGAATTGTGTCAGGGGACCGTGACCAGGGTTTCTGGGGCGGGCTGTTGTATGTTTAAGAGGCCCCCAGATCGGGACAGAATTGTGTCGAGTCACGGGGCCGGGGCCAGGATTTCCGTGGCGGGTTGTTGTTTAATTAAAGGGACCCCAGATCGGGACAAAATTGTGTCAGGGGACCGGGGCCTGGATTTCGGGGGCGAGTTGTTGCTGCTTACGAGGACCCCATAGTGGGGCAGATTTGTGTCGGGGGACCGGGGCCAGGATTTTTTGGGCTGGGTGTTGTTTTCTTGAAAGGGACCCAGATCGGGACAGAACTGTGGCCAGGACTTCCGGGGCGGGCTGGGCTGTGATTTGGGACAGATTTGTGTCACGGGGCCAGTCTATGATTTCTGGGGCTGGTTGTTGTTCGGTTAACAGCGACCCAGATCGAGACAGAATTGTGTCAGGCGACCGGGGCCAGGATTTCTGGGGCGCGCTCTTGTTTGCTTAAGAGGGCCCCATATCGGGACATAGTTGTGCCACGGGGCTTGGGCCAGGATTTCTGGGGCGGGTTGTTGTTTGATTGAAAGGACCCCAGATCGGGACAGAATTGTGCTTGGGGACGGGCCAGGATTTCTGGGGCGGGTTGTTGTTTGTCTAAGAGGACACCAGATCGGGACAGAATTGTGTCATGGGACCGGGGCCAGGATTTCTGAGGCGGATTGTTGTTTGTTTACGACGACGCCAGATCGGGACAGAATTGTGTCAGGGGACCGGGGCCAGGATTTCTGGAGTGGGTTGCTATTTGATTACTGGGACCCCACATCGGTACAGAATTGTGTCAGGGGACCAGGCCCAGGATTTTTGAGGCGGGTTGTTGCTTGAGGACTCCAGATCGGGACAGACTTGTGTCACGGGACCGAGGCCAGGATTTGTGAGGCGGGTTCTTGTTAACCTTTTGAAGAGGACATCGGACATCGGATCGGGACAGAATTGTGTCACGGGTCCGGGGCCAGGATTTCTGGGGCGGGTTGTTGTTTGATGGAAGGGACCCCAGATCGGGACAGAATTGTGTCACGGGACCGGGGCCAGGATCTCGAGGGCAGATTGTTGTTTGGTTAAATGGGGCCCAGATCGGGACATAATCGTGTCACGGGACCGGGGCCAGGATTTCCTGGGCGGGTTTGTTTTCTAAGGGACCCCATGCTGCAGATCGGGACACAATTCTGTCAGGGGACCAGGGCCGGGATTTCCTGGGCGGGATGTTGTTCGTTGTCAGAAGACACCAGATCGGGACAGAATTGTGTCAGGGGACCAGGGCCAGGATTTCTGGGGCGGGTTGTTGTTTGATTGAAGGGATTCCAGATCGGGACAGATTTGTGTCGGGGGACCGGGGCCTGGGTATCCAGGGCAGGGTGTTTTTTGTTAAGGAGGACGCCAGATCGGGACATGATTGTGTCACGTGACCGAGGCCAGGATTTCTGGGGTGGGCTATTGTTTGATTTAAAAGGACCCCTGATCGGGACAGAATTGTGTCAGGGAGCAGAATTGTGTCAGGGGACCGGGGCCAGGATTTCCAAGGCGGTTGTTGTTTGTCAAGGAGGACACCAGATCGGGACAGAATTGTGTCAGGGGACCGTGGCCAGGATTTCTGGGGCGGGTTGTTCTTTGATTGAAAGGACCCCAGATCGGGACAGAATTGTGTCAGGGGACCAGGACCCGGATTTCCTGGGCGGGTTGTTGTTTGTCTAAGAGGACACCAGATCGGGACATAATTGTGCCACGGTGCCTGTGCAAGGATTTCTGGGGTGGGGGACAGAATTATGTCAGGGGGCCGGGGCCAGGATCTCCGGGGCGGGTTGTTGTTTGTTTAAACTGGACACCAGATCGTGACAGAATTGTGTCACGTGACCCGGGCCAGGATTTCTGGGGCGGGCTGTCCGTTGGTTGAAAAGGACCCCAGATCGGGACAGAACTGTGTCAGGGGACCGGGGCCAGAATTTCTGGGGCGGGTTGTTGTATTATTGAAGGGACCCCAGATCGGGACAGAATTGTGTCACGGGGCCAGGGCCAGGATTTCCGCGGCGGGTTGTTGTTTGATTAAGGCGACCCTTAGATCGGGAGATAATTGTGTCACGGGACCGGGGCCAGGATTTCCTGGGCGGGTTGTTTGTTTAACAGGACACCAGATCGGGACACAATTGTGTCAGGGGACGGGGGCCAGGGTTTCCAGGGCGGGATGTTGTCTGTTTAAGAGGACGCCTGATCGGAACACAGTTGTGTCAGGGGAGGCGGGGCCAGGAATTCGGGCGGATTATTGTTGTTCGGTTAAAAGACCCAGACGGGACCCTGGGCCAGGATTTCCAGGGCGGGTTGTTGTTTGATTGAAGGGAGCCCAGATCGGGACATAATGGTGCCAGGGGACCTGGGCCAGGATTTCCTGGGTGGGTTGTTTTTTGCTTACGAGGGCACCGTATCGGGACAGAATTGTGTCACGGGGTTGCGGCCATGATTTCTGGGGCGGGTTGTTGCTCGTTTAAGAAGACACCAGATCGAGACATAATTGTGTCAAGGGACAAAGGCCAAGATTTCTGGGCAGGGACCTCAGATCGGGACAGAATTGTGTCAGGGGGCTGGGGCCAGGATTTCCGGAGCGGGATGTTCTTCGTTGTCAGAAGATACCAGATCGGGACAGAATTGTGTCACGGGTCTAGGGCCAGGATTTCTGGGGCCGGTTTTTGCTTGATTGAAGCGTCCCAGATCGGGACAATGTTGTGTCACGGGTCCGGGGCCAGGATTTCCACGGCGGGTTGTTGTTTGATTAAAAGGGCCCCAGATCGGGACATAATTGTGTCAGGGGAATAAGGCCAGGATTTCCTGGG